CCGCCCGGGCGGGGGCGGGGCCTGGAGAAGCACCGCCCTTGGGGCGGGTCCTCGCCCGCTGGACGCGGAGGCGCGGGGTCCCGGGCTTGGGCTCGGGAGCCCCGGACTCCTGCAGGGGCTCCCGGGACTTGGTGCCCTGCGCCGGGCCGGGCGGGGCCGGTCCGCGCTCACCCGGTCCGCACTCATGAGCCCGCACCGCCGCAGAAGTGTCTGCGCCTGGACCCGGCCGCGCCCGTGTGGGCCGCCAAGCAGCGCGTGCTCTGCGCCCTCAACCACAGCCTCCAGGACGCGCTCAACTACGGGCTCTTCCAGCCGCCCTCCCGGGGCCGCGCCGGCAAGTTCCTGGACGAGGAGCGGCTCTTGCAGGAGTACCCGCCCAACCTGGACACGCCCCTGCCCTACCTGGAGGTGAGTGGCGGGCGGGGGCGCGCGACCGGGGGCGGGAGGCGAGCGCGCGGGGCACGACCACAGAGTTCCGTGACAGTAGCAGTGAAGGGCACGGCAGTGAGGGGCGCGGACCCGAGGAGTCAGCCGTGTGTGTGTGTGTGTGGGGGTGTCTGTGTGCCCAGCGCAGTGAACGGTGCATACAGTGCGTGTGCGAGGCGCAGTGTGCGGTGTGTGTAGCGTGTGAGGTGTGAGCAGTACGTACGGCGAGCCTTGCGTGTTCTGTGCAGTGTTTGCAGTCAGCATCTTGTGTGGTGGGAACACAGAGTGGTTCTGCGGAGTGGGGTGTGAGTGGCGGAACAGTGTGTGGAGTAAGCCAGCGAGTTACCTGTGTGCACACCTGTTCCCCTCCCCCGCCCATGGAATCCCTGAGGGCAGACCTCAGTCTTTCTCATCTGCTCACCCATTCATAATGGAAAGGATGTTGAGTGTGCTGTCAGGTGTGGGGATACAGGCTTATAGTTTGGGGTGGTGGTGGCAAGTGCAGTGAGCATTAAAGTTTAAGCATTATGGTGTCTGAGCTCAAAGGTGGCTTGGCCTCTTTGGTGGCACAGGGAAATGGGGTTAGTTCTACTCAGGGCATGTCTAGGAAGGTAAGCCTGGAATCAGTCTTAGAAGAGGAGTGGCATTTTCCAGGGAATCCTGGGGGTGGGAATGAAAGAGAGAGGGTGTTGCAGGTTACAGGACAGCAGCCATGCATCCCATCTGAACTTGGTGTTGGCTCTGTGTGTGTGGTTGTACATAGGAGTTTTGTGTGGCTGGCAGGGTGAGTAAGCAGGACTTGGTTTTGTGCGTGCATTCGCTCACTCAACCCAGATGGGTGCCTTTTCTCTGCCTTTTCTTTACCTGAGCAGTTTCGATACAAGAGGCGAGTTTATGCCCAGAACCTCATTGATGATAAGCAGTTTGCAAAGCTTCACACAAAGGTAAGGAGGAAGCCACAGAGAAGGGACTCCAGAGGTTACCTCCTGGCCCCTATGAGCAGTGTTCCCTTCACCCCAGCCTTGACTGGATTTTGTGATATCAAAAATGTCCTTTAAAAATTCCCAAGAGCCCTTCCTCTGCTCCCAGCACCCTCCACCCTGGCTTGGGGCTGACCACTGTCCCTCCAGCTTGGCTCAGTCTGTTTTCTCTTGTGTCAGGAGCCCAGAGCAGGTGTTGGGGCAGCTGGAGGGCTGGATGCAGACTCCAGCACCGTGGCTGTTGTGTGGGTGGTCTGGTGACGGGTTTCAGTCAGATCACACTCTTACTCACCCCTCTGGTGGACCCCTGGCTGGGGGTGGTGGTGGAGTATGATGGGGCATGGTGTCTTGGTGAGAGCCTGGGTGGAATGGAAGTGAACAGGCACCTGATGTTCTCATTTAGGGGAACTGGGAGGGAGTGGAGAGAACAAGGAGCCTAGCACTTAGTGGTCACCCAGTGCTGGGCACTCATGATTGGGCACCTCATTAATTTTCTCCTGGGAGGGGCTATTATTACCTCATTTTCCGGGTGAAGATACTGAGTCCCAGAGAAGTTTTGTGACTTGCTGACAGGTGTGCAGCCAGTGAAACTGGGGCTGAATCCACATCTGTCTGATGCTGGGGTCCTGTGCTCAGGCACACCTACTGAGCACTACTGCTAGGTGGGCCTGACCCCAAATGTTCTTTGGGGCTACCTCACTGCCTTCTCTGAATGTAGGAGAGGCAACGTGGGTGCCACGGCCCCTACCCACAGGCAGACTCCCTCAGCTCCCACCTCAGGTTCCAGTGACCAGTGGGCCTTTGCTTACTGGACACTTCATTGACAATCTCTGGAGGCTGTCTCCTTCTAGGAGAAGGATCTGAGCACCGTCACCTCTGGGCCCCAGTGACCCCTCTGTGACCATGGAGCCTCCATGCCAGGTTTCTCTGCTGCCCCTGGGGCATATGGGGGTCAGAGGTCATGATTTTGGCTGGGCAGAGACTGTGCCCTCGCTCTCCACTTGCCCCAGTGTGACCCTGTCACTCTGGGTTCCTCCCCAAATGGTTACCCCTTCTCTAAAACTGTCCTGAGCAACTCACAGGACACTGGTGACACTTGTGACTATTGACCTCCTGTGAGTCCCACTTGTTTTTATTTTTTTTATTTTATTTATTTGGCCGAGAGAGACACAGCGAGCGAGGGAACACAGGCAGGGGGAGTGGGAGAGGGAGAAGCAGGCTTCCCGCCGAGCAGGGAGCCCGATGCGGGGCTCGATCCCAGGACCCTGGGATCATGACCTGAGCCAAAGGCAGACGCTTAACGACTGAGCCACCCAGGCGCCCCGAGTCCCTCTTGTTTTTAGATCGAGTTTCAACTCCTTACCCCAGCCCTGCATGTTTCTGGCTGCTTGGACCCTAACCAGCCCTCAGCATCACACCGTCCCCTCTGGGTCTAGCTGAGGTCTCTCCCCTGTCATGAGCACCCTTCCTCCTGTTTGATTGTCCGGACTCACCTTAGGAGGCCACCTCCTGTGGCGCAGTTCTCTTGGTGCCCTCTCCTATTTCTGATGCAATCTGAGTGTGTTTAGAAGACCTGGGGCCTCCAGCCAAGGCCCCTTGCTTGTGCATGCAGCATCTGTACCATCAGCCTCAGTGAAGCTTTGCGGAGTGAATTAATGCATGACTAGGTCAATGAATGAAAGGCAGTCAAAGTCACGTCACAGGAGGGGCCACCCACGGGGGAGGAAGGGCTCGGGGATAGGGGTCTGCCTTGGGGTGATCTCATTAGGAAGAAGGAACAGACCACCTTGGGAGTGATGGGGCTGTGGGCTGTGGTGGGGGTGGTTCCTGCCTGGGTGCCTTGGGCTCTTCCAGGCTGTGCAGGTTGGGGCAGCATGGCTGAGGAGAGGAGCCAGAGCAGTGGCTGAGGTTGGCATAGGAAATTTTCTTGGGGGCATGACCAGGGCAGCCTGGCCTTGATGAGGGGCTGGCTGGGCTGAGACCGACTGTCGCAGTGGGCCTGGGATGCAGGGAAGGACTTCAAGCAGCACATGGGCCCAGTGAGCTGAGATGGGCCACGTGGGCATACAGGGCTTAAGGTGATATGAGGGGGTGACAAGGTCATGATGTAGGGTGACAGGTGTGAGGAGGTGGGGCAGTAGATGCTCCTGTAGGGTGACAGGTGGCCTGAGGCTTGCTGGTGGAAGGTGGGTGACAGGCAGATGATTGTAACTGTGCTGCTGGGCTGACCAGGATGGCTGGGTATTCCAGGCAAACCTGAAGAAGTTCATGGATTACGTCCAGCTGCACAGCACGGACAAGGTGGCCCGCCTACTGGACAAGGGGCTGGACCCCAATTTCCACGATCCTGACTCAGGAGGTGAGAAGCAGAGCAGGAAGGGGCATGGCCTTGGAGGTTGGGACCTTAACCTTCATCTGTCTCTTGAACCCAGAGTGTCCTCTGAGCCTTGCGGCCCAGCTGGACAATGCCACGGACCTGCTGAAGGTGTTGAGGAATGGCGGTGCTCACCTGGACTTCCGCACTCGAGATGGGCTCACTGCAGTGCACTGCGCTGCGCGTCAGCGGAATGCGGCAGCTTTGACGGTCAGTGTGGGTGGGGCCCTGGCCTGGAGGGGCACATGGCCCAGCGGGGGCGGGGGGAGGCTGGGCCCTGTGTGAATGCTGAGGCTCCTTGCCCTCAGACCCTGCTGGACCTGGGCGCTTCACCCGACTACAAGGACAGCCGCGGCCTGACGCCCTTGTACCACAGTGCCCTGGGGGGCGGGGATGCCCTCTGCTGTGAGCTGCTTCTTCACGACCATGCTCAGCTGGGGACCACGGATGAGAATGGCTGGCAGGAGATCCACCAGGTGGGCAGGGGGTGTGAGGGGGCGGGGGGAGTCTCAGCCTCTGTCTGGGGGTGGGGGGAGGTTCCTGGCTCTGTCAGGCAGTGGGGGCTTTCCGGGCCCTGTCAGTAGGACTGAGGGTCCTGGACTCTGTTCGGGGACCCAGTAGCCTCTCCCTTATCCCCTAGGCCTGCCGCTTTGGGCATGTGCAGCACCTGGAACACCTGCTGTTCTACGGAGCTGACATGGGGGCTCAGAACGCCTCAGGGAACACAGCCCTGCACATCTGTGCCCTTTATAACCAGGTGTGACTATGTGTGTACACATGCAGCTGTACCCCTATACTGTGCTTGCTTACCTGTCTGGTCCTGGGTGCATGTTGTGTGTCCTGTGAACTGTGACCTTCTCAGCCCATGTGTGCACATCCGTTCCCTGAGCACACATGTTGCATGTGTGTTCCAAACAACCAGGTGTGAAGTGTGCACATCTGGGCTTTCTGGGCCGAGTGGGACCTGTGTATGTTGTATATACCTGATCTGCCCATCCCTATGCTGTGCATACGGGCTCTGGACACGTAGGTGCGGGTGGGTGTGCCCTGGACCCCCATATGTGCCCCAGTGTGTGTGCATGCTGTTGCATCCTGACTGTGCCCCTCCAGCTGCCCAGTTGTGACCCCCACTCCCACCCTCCCAACAGGAGAGCTGTGCTCGGGTCCTTCTATTCCGTGGAGCTAACAAGGATGTCCGCAATTACAATAGCCAAACAGCCTTCCAGGTACAAGAGTGGTTTACAGGAGGGTGAGGCCGACCCCTGGGTGTCTGTCTCTGTGTGACTTGATCTCTCTGGACCTTGGTTCTTCCCCTGTAAGGCAATAAGGGAGCTCTCGCTCAAGGATTGGACCAGGGTGAGATAGAGGAAGGGGGTAGGCCAGTACAGTGCCCAGCTCATGGAGGGGGCGTTCACTGTGGATGGTTCCCTTGTCTTCCTTCCAGGGAGAGAGGAGGGTCTTAGGGCTCTGGGGTCAGGGGAGAACCAGTGTGGGCTTGACCTGCCAGAGACAGGTAGGGTATAGAGGCCAAACCAGGGGTGAGAGGATTAGTTCTAGTCCCTGACTTAATTCAGGTGATGTTTCTGAGCACCTTCTCCAGCTGGGTTTGGTTCTTGGCACTGGGATGACCAGGCGCATGAGTCTCTGTATGGCCTGGAGTTTGTGGGTGAGGGAATTAAGACCGCGTTATGGGGACTTTCTGACCGCAGAGGGAGGTGGGCTTTTGTTCTCAGTGGAAGTGAGGGCTTTCAGAGGTCTCCTCAAAGATGTGAGGAAAATAGGTAGGTCCTCTGTGGCTATCCAGTCAGGGGACAGCTGCAGCAGTGGAAGAGCCCGGTGGGTTTGGGTGAGTCTGGAAGGGTCTGTTGGATGACTAGGTGAAGAGACAAGGGAAGGGAAGTAGGAGGGTGACAGGTATGAGGCAGTGGTAGGCCATGGCTGAGACAGGAGTGATGAGGTGTGTGGAGGGGCTGTTAAGAGAATCAGTAGGGTGACCTGTAGGCCTGGACTGTCCTGGTTTTAGCTCCAAAAGTCTCATGTCCCAGGAAACCTCTTAGTCCTGGGCAGAATAGGGTGGTGGGTTAGACAGGGGCCAAGGTCTGAGCCTGGGACCCCCAACCAAGGAAGACCCCAAACAGGAGCCCAGTCAGGGTGCACAGGGGCCAAGAGGGGGCAGGCTAGGTGCCCCTGAGTCTCCTCTCTCCCCCTCCCCCTCAGGAACCCAGGTAGGTTACACAGGGGTCAAGGGGGGCAGGCTTGGCACCCCTGAGTCCCCTCTCTCCCCTTCCCCCTCAGGAACCCAGGCAGGTTACACAGGGGCCAAGGGGGGCAGGCTAGGTGCCCCTGAGTCCCCATTCTCACCCACCTCAGGAGCCCAGGCAGGGTGCACAGGGACCAAGGGGGGCAGGCTAGGTGCCCCTGAGTCCCCTCTCTCTCCCTCTCCCCCTCAGGAGCCCAGGCAGGGACCAAGGGAGGCTGGCTTGGCGCCCCTGAGTCCCCTCTCTCCCCCTCCCCGCCTCAGGTGGCCATCATTGCAGGGAACTTTGAGCTTGCAGAAGTCATCAAGACCCATAAAGACTCGGATGTTGGTGAGTTCTGCCCAACCCAGGTCCCTGTTGGAGGTGGATTTGTGGGGGGTGGTCAGGGCCCCAACAGTGCAGGGGTCAGTGGGGATGGTACAAGGGAGCCCCCCATACCCTGAGCCTCTTCCTTGCAGCTATATTTTAGTCAGAGTTCCATTAATGGCCCCTGAAGGTAGGGGGAATCTGCCGAGGGAAGGGCCTGTGTGGAGTGGACAAAGGGTTTGAGTAAGGGTTGAGAGCATGGTTAGGTTAGGGCTGTGGGTTGGGACCATTGTTGAGTTTAGGGATCGACTTAGGTTGAGAGTGGGGTTGAAGTTAGGGTCAAGGTTCATTTCCTGTTAGGTCATATGAAGGGTCAGCAGGGCACATGGGGCAGTGGATCTCAGCCGTTGACCCTCAGTGTGTCACTCTTACCTGGAGCAGGAACCGGTTTAAGTGGCCCATATCGTGCTTCAGTAGGACAAGGTCACATAAAGAAAACAAAACACAGTGGTCGCGATGCAAATGGAAAAGGGAAGAGCTATCTTCAGGGCACTGAGCTCTGAACCAGTGCACCAGGGGAGCCCAGGATATGCCTGACTCATGGTCCCAGAAGGAAAACCAGGAGATGCCACTTGGTCTTGCCACTAGGGCAGGCAGGAGGTTGGGCACAGCCATCACACTGGAGCCTCAAGGAGGCCCCCACCCACTCCCGCTTTAGTGCTGGGTGCTGGGCTGCTCTGGGACCTGTTCTTGGAATCCCCCCTTCTCTCTCCCGTGTGCAGTGGGTGGGGCTATGGGAGAGGGTAGGTCTCCTCTCTTGGAAAGGTGACCCCTTCAGCTAGCTGGACACATGGGGGCTCCCTTCTTAGCTCCCTCTGTCCTGAGTGGACCAGGTTTTTCTGCCCATGGTTCTCTCTGGAACACGGGCTCCCAGGCTCCCCTTTCTGCCATGGTTGCAGTGTCCCCATTAAAAAAAGCAAAAACAAGAAACAACTTAAGTGACACTGGACAGCAAAGGGCTAGGGATGGTTTTGGTTCTATTGTGAGGTTACAGTCAGGGCTAGGGTTGAATTTTGGACTGGGGTTAAGATTAAGGTCAAGTTCCGGTTTAAGGACTCTTCCCCTGTAGAGTGAGGGCTCAGTTATGGTCTGGTTGGGGCTGATAAGTGTTTTGGAGGTGGTTGTTAGCCTGGGAGAACCCTGGTTTGTAGACATGTGGGATCCTCTCATCTTGTGATTATTTGACCATGGGAAAGCTGCTTAGGACCTCTGTGCCTCAGTTTCTCTTACGTCAAATGTATTTTTTTAGTGGTTGTTTGCATACCATTCCCTCCTCTGACCTCATGTGGGATTTGATTCTGTGTGTCTGGACTCTGGCAGGTGAACTTGGTCTAACTGATTGGAGGGAGGGGGTGTCTGGTCCCAGCCAAGAGAGAGGAAGGCTCCAGCTGCCTCTCATTTTCCTCATAGTGGACAGAGATACTAGGGCTCCTAGGGTCACCATTATTACGACTCACTGTCTGGCTGACCCAGAGTATGCTCGCCAGGTTGGAGTTAGGCATGTCATTGCTGAGCTGAGGTACGGAGCAGGTGTGCATACCAGTTCACCCCCGTGTGGGCATTGGCTTTGCTGGCTATGTACCCTAACCTGCTCAGGTGTCGTGCATACACGCAGATGACATAGCCAGATGTCCCTGAGCTACAGGGAATATATTCATGAGTGTTTACTATAAGCCTTGTTATTTTAGTTTACTCTCTCAGCAACCCCTCACGGAGTGATTATTAGTAGTCCATTTTTATAAACGGGGTTTAGGGCAGGGGCTGTCTTTGGACCTGTCCTTGTCACCCCCTACTCCCTCTGCACACCTTCACTCCAGGGACACTCCCTCAATGACAGTCACAAGTTGCCCTGTCTCACCCCAGGTTGGGGACCTGGGATGGGCCTGCACACAGAAGAGCTGGAGGGAGGCTCTCCCCATCCATCCTCCTTCCTCTTCCTCGGGAAGGGAAGCCCTTGTGGAGGGTCTGGTAGGCTGGGACCTGTTACCCTTCCACGGACAACCGGGAAACCTATTGGCAGCCCTCTCTAGATTGATAGGCCTGAAGCAGAGAGAGACCCTGGTCTGGGAGCCGCTACTCGTGTGCCTTGACCTCTGTTGCCTTGGGCCGACTTAGGGTCCACATTCTTCCCCGCCATCTCTCACGCACATGCTTTCATGTTCTCCCCGACTTGCTGTCCCATAGTGCCGGAGAGAAGTTCTTCTCACACCATACCTTGGGATCTTGTTAAATGTAAATTCTGACTCAGTGGCTCTGGGTGGATCCTGAGAGTTTGCATTTCCAGAGTTTCGGCTCTGAGGTGAGGCTGATGGTCCATGGCCCACACTTCTCTAAGAGGAATCTAGAATAGGGCTTGGCAAATGAGGCCTCACAGGCCAAATTCAGCCCACAGTCTGCTTTTTTTTTTTTTTTTAAGTTGAGGCTTTAAAATTGAGGATTTATGTTTCATTTAGAGTTAAATCCACATAACATAAAATTAATTATTTTAAGTTGAATAATTCAGTGGTATTTAATACTTTCACAGTGTTATACAACCACATTTATTGAATTTCAAATATTTTCATCATCCAAAAAAGGAAACCCTGCATACATGAAGTAATTATTCCATATTCCCCTCCCCCTCAACCTCTCTTAACCCTTAACATGCTTTCTGTGTCTATAGATTTATCTATTCTAGATATTCACATAAATAGAATCCTACAATATGTGACTCTTGGTGTTTGGCTTCTTTCACTCAGCTTGTTTCCAAGCTTCTCTATATTGTAGGATGTATTACTGCTTCATTCTTTTTTATGGCTGAATAGTATTCCATTGTTTGTATATATAAAATTTTGTTTATCTACACATTCTTCAACAGGACACTTGGGTTGTTTCTACCTTTCGGCTATTATGAATATTGCTGCTATGAACATGTGTGAAATGTATTGGTTTGGATACCTGTTTTCAGTTATTTTGGATATAAACTTAGGAGGGGAATTGCTGGGCCATATGATAATTCTATATTTAACTTTTTGAGAAACTGCCAAATTGTTTTTTTACCATTTTACATTCCTACCAGTAATGTATGAGAATTTCAAAGTCTTCAAATCTTTGCTAACACTTGTAATCATTGGTTTGTTTTTATTATTATTATTATTTTTATTTTTATTGTGGCCATTCTAGTTAGTGTGACATAGTATCTCGTAGTTTTGATTTGCATTTCCCTAATGGCTAATGATGTTTATTGGCCATTTGTATATTTTCTTTGGAGAAATGTCAAGTCCTTTGCTTATTTTTTTAATTGCCCATAGAATGAGTTAGGAGGTGTTCTTTCCTCTTCTAGTTTTTGGAAGAATTTGAGAAGGATGGGTGTTAATTCTTCTTTAAGTGTTTGGTAGAATTCACCGGTGAAGCTGTCTGATGCTGGACTTGTGTTTGTTGGGAGATTTGTGATTTTTGATCCATCTCTTTGCTTGTTACAGGTCTGTTTAGATTTTCTATTTCTTCTTGAGTCAGTTTTGGTAATCTGTATTTTTCTAGAAATCTGTTCATCTCATCTAACTTATCTAATTTGTTGGCATACAGTTGTTCATAGTATTCCCTTAATCCTTTTTAATTCTATAAGATTGGTAGCAGTGCCACAATTTCACTTCTGATTTTAGTTATTTGTGTCCCTCTTCTCTTTTTTCTCTGAGTCAGTCTAGCTACAGGTTTGTCAGTTTTGTGGATATTTTCAAAGAAACAACTTTTGTTTTCATTGATTTTCTCTATATTCTGTTCTCTATTTCATTTATCTTTGTCTATCCTTATTTCCTTCCTTCTGCTAGCTTTGGGTTTGGTTTGCTTCTCTTTTGTAGTTCCTTAAGAGGTGCACTTAGCTTATTGATTTGAGACTTTTATCCTTTTTTGATATAGATGTTTACAGCTATGAATCTCCTTATTGGCACTGCTTTTGCTGCATCCCATAAGTTTTGGCGTGTTTTTGTTTTTATTTTCTCAGAGTGTTTTCTAATTTCCTTGTGATTTGTTTTGACACACTGGTTGTTTAAGAGTGTGTTGTTTAATTGTCATGTATTTGTGAATTTTTAAGTTTTTTTTTTTTTTTTTGTTCTTGAATTCTAGCTTCATCCCATTGTGCTTGGAGAAGATATTTTGTGTGATTTCACTCATTTAAAATTTATTGAGACTTGTTTTGTGGCCTAACATATAGTCTGTCCTGGAAAATGTTGCATGTGCACTTGAGAATAATATATATTCTTCTCTTGTTTTCTGTAGTGTTCTATACACATATCTGTTAGGTCTAATTGGTTCAGGTCTTCTATGTCCTTATTGATTGTCCCTCTAGATGTTCTATCCATTATTGAAAGTGGGGTGTTGAAGTCTTAAATATTATTATGGAACTGTCTGTTTCTCCAAATGTGTTAACGTTTATTTCATATATTTTGATGCTCTGTTGTTTGGTGCATATATGTTAATAATTGTTAATATATTTGATGAATTGACACCTTTTCAATATACAATGTCCTCTGTCTCTTGTAACACTTTTTATCTCTAAGTCTGTTTTGTCTGATATAAATATAGCTACTTAGCTCTCCTGGTTATTATTTATATGAAATATCTTCCTTTATTCTTTTATTTTAAACCTACCTGTGTCTTTGGATCCACAGTGATTCTTTTTGTAAATAGCATATAGTTGGATCATGTTTTTTAAATCACCATCTGCTTTTTAAATAAAGTTTTATTGGAACTCAGCCACACCCATTTGCTTATATATTGTCTGTGGCTGTTTTCATGCTATAGTGGCAGTGTTGAGTCCTTAGGACAGAGGCTATATGGCTTGCAAAGTCTGAAATAGTTACTATCTGATTCTTTACAGAAGTTTGCCAAACCCTGGTCTAGAACGTCTTTTATGGTTTCCCTCGTTTTAGTTAACCATAGATGGTCCAGTACAGCAGTAGCCTGGTGAGATTTGTCACATGTGGCCTGTTCTGCCTTGGCTGAACCCTGTGAAATGGGCAGTTTCTTTCTTTCTTTTTTTTTTTTTTTAAGATTTTTATTTATTTGAGAGAGAGAGAATGAGAGAGAGCACATGAGAGGGGGGAGGGTCAGAGGGAGAAGCAGGCTCCCCGCCGAGCAGGGAGCCCAATGAGGGACTCGATCCAGGGACTCCAGGATCATGGCCTGAGCCGAAGGCAGTCGCTTAACCAACTGAGCCACCCAGGCGCCCGAAATGGGCAAGTTTCAAGAGCAGATCTGAGCATGCCCAAGACCTCATTTGGCTGACAGGAGGAGCAGGCTTCTGCCTCTGAAGCTAGAGTTAGAGGCAGTTTGGGATTGACCCCCAATGATAGCTTCGGTGATAGGCTGGCCAACTGTCCTGGTTGCCCAGGACTGAGGCAGCTCCTGGGACGTAGGATTTTAGTTTTAAAATCTGGAAGGCAAACCAGGGTAAGTTGGTCACCCTATCTGGCTGCCCAGAGTCTCATCTGTACCCCCCCCACTCCCACCCAGTACCATTCAGGGAAACCCCCAGTTATGCAAAGCGGCGGCGGTTGGCTGGCCCCAGTGGCCTGGCTTCCCCTCGGCCCCTGCAGCGCTCAGCCAGTGACATCAACCTGAAGGGTGAGGTGCAACCGGCAGCTTCTCCTGGACCCTCGCTGCGAAGCCTCCCCCATCAGCTGCTGCTCCAGCGGCTGCAGGAGGAGAAAGACCGAGATCGGGATGGTGACCAAGAGAATGACATCGGTGGCCCCACAGCAGGCAGGGGCAGCCAGAGCAAGATCAGGTAGGAGGCATCTGGGAGGCCCTGGCAGGGTCTGGGTGGGTGGGGTGTTGGGACCCAAGCAGGAGGAGCCAGCATGGAGAGGCAGGGAGAGACCTAGTGGTGCCTGGCACCTCTACAGTGATGGGCTGAGGCTCGGGGTGGGGGACTCCCAGGCCCCCCATACAGGCCTCCCTGGATGGGAAAGGGAAGAAAGTGAGGCCTTGTTGGCTGGAGCAGGCTCCCCCATGCTGATCTTTTGGAGCTGAATTTGTCCTGAGGGAAACTTAGGGAGGATGTTGAAGGAGAGGGTTTGGCCAGCTCTGTGCTTTGTAAAGTTTCCTGCAGTGCTAGGAGGAGGGTAAAGGCTGAGATGAGGCAGGGCTGGGTGGTGTGTGGTAAGGGGTTAGGGAATGGAGCTTCATCTCCATGAGGGCTTGAAACCTATAGGTGACCCCTAGCCCTGTCTCCAAGAGGGAGTCTTCATCTTTCCCCCACCTCTCCAGCCCTGTAGAACCACAAGACTCTCTGGTTTTACTCTTTACCCCTTACCATTAGCGCTGGGACCCTGAGAACCAGGAACATGGGAGGGACTTGGCATCCCCAGAACTCAGAGGAAGAAGCCTGGGCTAAAGCCCCACCGGCCTTGGTGGGCTGGACAGTGGGGAGTAGGGGGGTGGGCACTGGCTCTGCAGATAAATGGTTGGGGTCCAGTGCAGACCTGGCATCTGCTGACTGTGGCCTTGGACAGGTCAGCTAACCACTCTGTGCCTGGGTTTCTCATCAGTAAGGTAGGAGTAATTCCATGCAGTTGTTTCCTTCGGGAAGCCTTCCGGAACCTGGGCAGGTGAGGGGTCCCTACCGGGATCCCCTGGCCCACAGCACAGTCCAGCCACTGCTGGTTAAGGCATCTCTCCTCCTGGCACTTCGAGGAGGAGCTGTCCTCCTGCAGCTTCCCCAGAGCCAGTCACATAGAAGGTGCTCAGGAGACATTGTTGAATGAGTTACATAAACAGCATTTTGTTTTCAAGATGACAGCTGGGCTGAGCAGCATATGTGTATTGTTTCACTTAACTTTGGCCATACGTGAGGCTGTGCTCTATTAACACTATTTTACAGATGAGGGTCCTGATGCTCTGATGGGGTAAGTGACTTGTCTAAAGTCACATAGCTAGGAAGCAGCATAATTGGGCCCCACGTAGACCTGGTTCCCAAATTTTCTAAGCCTGAGTGTTCAGCAGAGGGCTTGGGGTGCAGCAGGAGCTTATAAAAGCAATTTCTTCCTTTGCCTTTGTCCCTGCTTGTGCAGCTGTAATCTGTGATGTCTCCTCTCTCTCCGTGTCTCTGCCCAGACTCCAACGCTGTCTGTCCTGCTCCAAATCACCTCAATTCTCCCCTGAAGCTTTTGCATGTCCCATGGATTTCTTAAGGGTAGGACAGCCCAGTGTCTAAAAGAACAAACTTTGGGATGTTTCAGTTTTGCAGAAACAAAAACCTGTAGATGCCCTGTTTTCATTTATTTTTTGTATATTCATTTATCCTTTTGGCAAACATAGAACTAAGACCTGCTCTGTGTGGGACGGCAGGATTATTACTGTTTTTCTACAAATATTTAGTCGGTGCCTAGATGCCAGATGTGGTGGGAGCTAATAGCAGGGAGTCCTAAAGGTCTCAGAAGTACACTGACAGCTGGGGCCCAGGACTAAGAAGCAGTTAGATGGGCAGTGATTCAGGTAGGGGGAGCTCCTGGTGAGTGGCCAGGAGGGGACTGAGGAAGTTCAGTGCACCATGGAGGGAGAACACCTCAGGGGAGGAGATCCCCTTTGGCATTTGAGCTGCAGGGGCGGCAGGGGGTGGTGGTGGGGAATGTGTGGAGGGAGGCCTAGTCCCCGCCCCTCCCCGCCCCCCCTGTTGGCAGAGCCTGGCATGGAGCCCCTAGCTCCCCGCAATGTGTGGCTGAGTCCCCCCAGCATCACAGAGCAGGGCAGAGAAAAATGGGGCTGTAGCTGAGAGACAATAACTTAATAATTGGGCAGATGAGTAGGATTAGAATAGTTGAAGTGTTGGGGACAACATCATGAATAGCCCAGAGGAGGAAAAGGAAGATGCCCAACCATGTGACTGGAGTGTAGCTAGTTCTCACAACCCAGAGAGCCTGGCTATTGCCTGAGAATGTGGACCTGGGCTGCCTGGGTACTAGGGAGTCAGTGCAGGCTTTTGAGCAGCGCGAAGGTGGAGAACCTTCGAGCCTCAGGCTCAGTGCTCCGGTTGGGAGAGCCATCCGGGGAAGGTGGTCAGCACGGAGTCGGTATGGGCATCAGGGACAGGTGTCGAGGAGAAGACACAGGTCTGGAGGAGGATTTGGGCGCCCAGCACATGGCAGTGGCCAGGTGGAGGAGAAGGCCGAGGCCTGAGCAGGGAGGTGGGGGTGGACCGCTGGTGGAGCCCCTCCTGGCCGCGGAGCCGCCCCCCAACCCCTCCCAGCTCGCACCTGGCTCTGCTGACCGCGTTCCCCGCCCTCCTCAGTCCGACCTCTCCTCTGCCCGCCGTGCGCTGCAGTGCCCCTCGCCCCGTGGCCTCGGGGCCGCGGTGAGGTGGCCGCTGGAGGAGAGGGA